CCTGCTGAAATTAAAACACAGAGATTTGAGAAGTATTTCTAGAGAAACTATAGTCCAGTTCTGAAGTAATGGAAACTGCCATTTCTCCCTTTTTAATCATCCTTTGGTTTTGAAAAATAAGTTTGTCCCCTGTGTTTATCTTAGGTTAATAACTGTCTCTGTGGGGCTCAGAAGTCTTCTGGCTTGATAACTAAAATCTGAGTTGCGCTATTTCTCAAAATTAGTAGAATTTGTCATATCTATTTCAACTTCAATGGAACAATATTTTTCTAAACAGGCTTGAACAGGTTGCTGAAACTAATCATATACTCATTTTTTGAAACTTGATGGTTTTATGCTGGTTAATTTCCATTGGGTACATAAAGCTTCAGGAACTGATTGTGAAAAACACAAGAGAACAAAGATTATTTAAAATTAACTGTAACTATATGGTACATTTTAGCCTATCATAATTGAATCACGTGAGTTACATGTTTGGATGCAGTAGAAAATGCACATGCTTATTTTTGTGATCAGTTGTAAGTATGTGAAAATTCACAGTGTCTGAAGTATGTTTAAATATTTGCAGATGCTGAAATGACCTATGTAATAAATGCATTTTTTTCAGAAACTTAAATTCATGGAGTATGTTTCTTGCTTAAAATCTGCTAATCTTTGCATAAATGATAAAAAAAATTAAAAACATATCTGTGTGTACGTATGTATATATGTAACTTATTGGGCTGTTAAACCAGATTTTGGGAGTGTGTTTCAGGATCTTTTTTGTCCTATGTAGTAGGATGAGAAGTATGTATAATCAGCAGTCAAAATACAGATAAGTAGTTCTTTATTCACCCAGAGTACATGTATAAACTGCTGTTTAGGTACAGATGTAGTATAGCACAGTTGAAATCAACCTATAGATTCCCTCCTTTGTAGCATGTGCCTTCACCTTGCTCTGTCAGAACCACTGTAGTAGTGAGTATGTGGCTCAAAGATCCAGTAAATACTATTCTGAAATTATCAGTTAAGTGCTTGTCTTAAGTCTAAAGGCTTTTTATGGTGTGGGCATCCTCTCATTAACTAAAGCTGACATCACAGGCTGTGGCAAAAATTAGAGCTTCAGGATAGAATTTCACTTC